ATTAACCATGCACTTACGCATCTTGTTATTTGACAAAAAAAGATGACATGTAAAAATATTGTGACATGTAAGACTGATTGCATGACAAATAAGCTTTGACACCTAATTTTTAGTTAAAAATTAAAATATTTCAAAGTAATTATAAAATTAAAATTACTTTTTACCCTCTTCTTCAACCACACATCAATTTCTTTCCTTTCTCTTTTCGTTACCCCTCCCTTTTCATCTACAGCCTCTTTGGCTGGTCATCTTCTTCCCTTAGCAGCTTCATTTTCTCTCTCCCTTCCCCGACACCAGATCTGGGTTCGATTGAACCCAATGGCTGTTCATCTTTTTCCCCCAACAAGCTTCATTTTCTCTCTCCCTTCCCCAACACTAGATATGGGTTTGATGGAACCTAGTAGGGACTAAAGGGTTCAATGGAACTCGGGTTGCCAACTGGGTTCGACCTAGTTGGTGTTGTTGGGTTCGATCGAGCTCAGCAGTGCTTGTTGCAATCAAACCCAACAGCGCCTGTTGCAATTGAACCCAGCAGCGCTTCCTGGGTACCATCGAACCTAGTGCCCATTGGGTTCGAAAGAACCCAAGCAAAAATTAAAAATGATTTTGATTTTTTGTTTTTTTGTTTGTGGATTTTGTTGTTTAATGAAGAAGAAGAATTGTTAGCTAAAGATGAATATATATTTTTTTTTTGAGAAAAGATGAAGAAGAAGATGAAGAATTGATTGATGAAGAAGGCAAGGCAAGGAAGAGGAAGGAGAAAGGGAGAGAGGATGAAAAAGGAGAGAATTTTTTAAGCTTTTATTGCTAGATCATAATTTTTTTGCCATGCTGTCTTCCCACGTGGATGTAATATTTTGACATATCATCATGTTTTTGTTAGTTAATGGGACACATAGGTAGAATTTTAATGAAAGGACTAAATCGGGGTTAAAATGGTAAACAATAGGGACCAAATCAGGGATTTTTTGAGTTGAGGAGCTAAATCGGGGGTTTGTACAATAGTTGAGGGACCAAAATGGGGGTTTAACCTTTTTTTAATATATATTTTTGTTGCGAATGAGCAATTGAGTTTATGCAAATTGCAAGTTGTTAGGGATTTTGGGATCCTTTTGCTTCATATTTCCTAACTATTGTCTAAATGATTTTAATGTCAAAATGGGAAAGAACATCGCTGGCGATGGAAAGAATAGAAGTAGTGACAAGATGGGCAAAGAAGCAATTTTCAGTGGGTTTCATTTGCTTGGCTAGAAAATTGTATAGTTAGAGTGTTTGGATGTTGAGAAAATGGTTTGAATCAGTGTTTTGGAATAAGTATTATATTAATAGGTGTTTGGTTGCTGAGAAAATTATCATGGTTGTTAAGAAAATTTGTTGAGAAAATTGTGATTTAATTAAAAGTTAATTGGAATCTTAATTTTACTTAAAATAAATAATTACAGTTTAATTAGGGAATTAAAAGGTGAGGTCCATAATCTAGTTGAGAAGTCTAATGATTGGTGAGTGGAATCTAACATGGCATAACTTTTTGTCCATATAAGCGTCTTCTTCTAATTTAATTTGTCACATAATTAAAAAAATATAAAAAATGCCACATGAATGGAGTTAACAACCCAAATTGACAAAAAGATTAAAATTGTGTAGGTCTTAGAGTTGAGAGATCAAAAAAGTGCAACTCTATAAAGTTGAGGGACCAAAATTAGCATTTAACCAATGAAAATATGAAGCACTTGTAAGACTGCTCTCTTTCATGCTCTAGCTTCCCTTATTTTAGGGTTTTCCCCTTTTTATTTTTTGTTTTTTTAATTTTTTGAAAATTTTTTGTCACCTCCTGCATGTTAAAAAAAGGAATTGGGTCAAATTTTGGGCCTAGCTTTTGGGCCGTTGATCTCATCATTTTTTTTTCTACTTTTCCGTCATGTCTCTTTTTTCTTTTTTTTTTTCTTGATCTTTTTCTAAAAAAAAAAAAATCATTTTCCATTCTCCATTTCTTTGGTTCTTCATCTTAGTGCCATCTTCACGTGAATAAGTCCTATTACAAAAATTAAATATATTAAGACACACAAAGGAAGGCCATTAAATTTTTATAAAAAAACTTGAAAATAAATATTAAATCAAAAAATTGGGTTATGACAGAGTAAGTAGCAATTGTTCCAAGCTTGAATTTCCAAGGTTAAATGCTAAATTTGGTCCCTCAACTTTAAGAAATGCACATTTTTGATCCCTCAACAATTTTTTGCACTTTTTTGATCCCTCAATTATAAGAAATGCACTCTGTTAGTCTTTCTGTTAATTTCAGCCGTTAACTTCGCTTATGTGACATTTTTTATATATTTTTTTGATGATGTGGAGAGCAAAATTTAGAAAAGTGATGACATGGACAAATATTTTGACATGTCATGTTACTATGTGCCAAATTTATTCAAATGGGTCCCACATCACTAATAAAGAAATTTACCTTTGGTTGACATGGCACCAAATCTATTCAAATGGGTCCCACATTACTAATAAAAAAAAATATCAACGTGATATTTTTTATATATTTTTAATAACATAACAAATTAAATTAAATATTTATTTGAATAAAAAATAATATTAAATCAAATTTTATTAATTAATTATCATTAAATTATAATTATTTATATTAATTAA